AAAATCAGCTGACCTTTTTTAAAAGGGGTAAAACATTGAATTTTGAAGAAATTAAAGGTCATTAAAAGATACCTCAGAAGTCGGGAAACCTCATATTTCCGGCCATCTGGGAATCAAAATAGGGAATTATACACTGATCATTTATTGCCATTACACCTAAACAACATAATACATATTTACAGCGATATAGACCAATATAAAGTCACATGACGCAAAATATCAAAAAATCAAACTTACCAAAAGTTGTCGTGTTTAGTATCATTTGAAAGCTCTGCCAATGATGAGTTATGTTTTCCGGTATATACATATCAGAAACTGTGTAGTTTTTCATATATTGTCCTGTAAATCTAATTATCAAATAGAACAAAATCCCACAAACACACTTTTTGGCTGATTTATTAGAAGAGGTCAGTCCAACTACGACCCATCATTTTACTATGAAGGTTTGACCAGATATGTACACCTGTGTACTTTCTGGGGAAATGCTTAGTTCCTCCGAGTCCAAATGAACCCAGGATAGGCCAGGGGCCCCACTCTTACTCTATGGTGGCCAAGGCAAATACAGTATGTTGTGTTTTCCTACTTATTGATGATTTTACATACATGAACAATGGTACCGAAAGTTACATGCTGTATAATATATTTTATTGGGTGATTGATTTGTTATAACATTAACAGGCATGGTCCTCCCAGTGGTGCAACGACGAGTTGTGGGTCCCGGGCCGAAACAATGTTATTAGCACCATGCATATCAGTAAAATATTTTTGCTCACGAAGTGACACCGGGGTGGGTAATCCCCCTAGAGATAAGTGTTAAGGATGAAAAGACTTTAATTATTAGACAATGCCAAAAAATGTTTTGTGAATAATATTTGGCACACACATTTTTAATTTGAATATTTGCGTGCAACCCAACCCCCAAAAAATGAAGAAGAAAGGGAGAAGAAAGACCAGAAAGAAGGGAGCATGACGTCACTGTAGGCTTACTCCAAAACAACCTATTTTTTTAATGTCTGTTGTCTCCACCATTTCTAAACAAATTTTTTTCTCTATATCTGTCCCTTATGGGTGCTTGGATTTAATCGGTGTAAACACCAAGGATAACCCACAAAAGTCGGAATAATACTTGTTTCCAGTGAGGTCCTTCTGGTGGTGATTGGGCACTACATCGGCAGTGGCCTAACGATGGGCCCGGGGCCCAGTGATTTTCTGAGAATGGGGTCCCCTTTTTGATCCGGTCAACACTTTGATTGCGGGAATTTAAATTTGCTCGTTTTTCTAATATTTGGCATTGTATTCTAGATTGCTTTTAACAAGGAAATAAATTATATATCAGTTGCAGATTTAGGTATTAAAATAGAGGGAATGTGGGTAGGGAGTGGCTTTCACACACCTATTCCACCTCAGCCCCAGCATGGTTGGGGCTAAGGTAAGATCATTTATGAATACGGCACTTCAAAGTGGCCGGAATTGGCATTCATATATTTAAAATGCGAGTATAATTTCCATTTTTAAAACAATTGGAAAATTGTAGGTGGCCCCAGGCCGACAGGGCCCCATTAAACCTTCACGGATATACTATGATATATGTCTTACAGTCGATCTCAGAGACACATTAAGCTGTTATGTATCAACAAAGCCCTTTTGGGTAAGGGTGCCCGAGTGAGGACCCTATGGGTTGGGGCACCTTCGGGGCCCTAGGTGACGGGGGCCCTGCGGACCGCCGCATGGGAGCGCATGGTCGTTACACCACTGTACATCGGGAAACAATTTCCTACTCATTTCCAATTAGTATACTGCGTTCTTTAACGTGCACACAGGCAATAATGCACACGGAACCAACAGGTTAAATGTCTCATCCGAAAGACGGTGCGCTATCGTAACTTGCATTTCAGCCCTCCAACTGAAATACAAGGAAGAGCAGTGATGGGAATTACACTACCTCATTCCTAAAGCCCCTTCCAATTTCCATCTTAGAAAACTTAAAGAATTTATCCTCCAAAAGGCTGGAAAGGACTCCCTGTACAGGCAAATGCTTTGTTCATTTTTAATTCAGTAATTAAAACAACTATAATAATCTCACTACAATAATTAAAATTACAATAATAGTAATAATAATAATAATAATAATAATATTAATAATAATAATAATTTTAATATTGGTTGCCTTTTTACCCTTTAAACCTGTTTCCTTTTGCTGTTATTGGACTTAGCCCAGAAAGCACATGCGTTACTTAAGGCTTGGTAGTAATGTGTTAGGTAGTAGTAGGAGCGCCCCACCCCCCTCCGCCTTCCGAGAGCTCACGAGTTATGCAAATGGGTCCTGTTTATATTAATATGATATGCCATAATTGGAATTTATGGGACAGTACATGAAACACCACACCGTTTCTGATATATAAACTGCAATACATTATTCAGCATCGGAAGAGCTTTCCAACGATACCAAACACGACTTTTTGATGAGTTTATATACTTATTCTTATTTTATACACATTTTAAGTATATTTTGCGGATATTTTAAAACAAATAAACACCTATTTTTGAATTATGTTCCATTCTGGCATGAGTGACAGTAGTTTTTAAATGTCTGATTTGTTGCCTGTATATAAATAATGATTTTAGACACCAACATCATATCTGTAGCTTATTTAGTTCCAATTATATGCACATTTAAGATAAATTTGGCGGCCATTTGAAAAATGGCCGCCATTTGTATACCAGGTGAAAAATCAAGTGTCAGCAGGGCTTAGGGTGACCAGGACGGATTAATTAGGATATCTGGCTTTGTTGACTGCTTCTAACATTCCACTCCCACTAACTTGATTTATAGGCCTCTTTTTTGATTTTTTCCTAGTCTATTTAACTTGTTTTGCAGTGTACTATTATTTGTCTGTTACCCAATTATGCCTCATCTTTACAGTTCACCTTTAGTGTGACATACATCTCGGCCAGAATGCTCAGCTCTTTGATGTAGTATGTTGATATATATGTTTTAAATGCACTTATCGCAATTTTTGCACTGCATTTCCTGGCACTATTTCATCTGAATTAATTGGCTGACGTATATTGTGTGGCTATCGCCACGTACTGTGGATAAATCCTTGCAGTGCTCTTACATGCTTTCCTCTATTTTAATATGTTATACATTTCAGTGACATGGCGGTTGTATGCACAATTTAAATTGTGTATATAATAAAAAAAATTAACACCATCCGGACCAAAAAAGTATCCCCTTAAAAGGGCGGTCCCTGAATAGGGGTTGGTCTTAGTGTTTAAATATATACTTTCCCTCGTTTCGAAAACGAAAATGTATCCCCTATTGGGATGTCCCCTTAAGATGGGTGGCCAATTGGAGTGGTTCTATTGCATATAAAATAATCTATTTTTCTATTACTTTAGCTGAAGCAACTGTTGTTGATTGATATTTTAAATATATCTATGCATTTGAACCTTATGTTTTTATAATACTTAACATTTGGAAAATATTTTTTAAAGAAATTCAGTTATGTTTTTCATTCAGAAATTTGATGAATATTTGTGCAAGTATCCTTTATTTTTGTTTACAATTCATTCTCATGATTTGCTGCTTTTAAATGCCTGTGTCCATGCCAACACTGCTCCATATATAGGAACAGCATGACTATATATGGGCATTTTACATACACGCATATTCATGGGCTCAGTTCTGATTGGTCAGTCGTTAAGTTTGATTACCAGCTGTCTTCAAAGGTCTTTTGTATTTAACTCATTGAAAACAAATAGAGACAAAAACCAGCTTCCTCAAATGGCTTGTCAATGATCATTTATGATTTAAAAATCTCTGACCTATAAATCTATATAAATATGTATACTGACATTACTTTAAAATCTTATTTTTATTTATTGGAAGCACTAAGTTATTCTGAATCTGTTTTGGTATTTTTGATTCAATGTTTTCAACATAATCAGTTTCTTTGATATATGTTTACAGATTTGTGGAAAATGCAATCATTTTGGCATAGATTTTAGCTTGATCTAAATGTGCTGTTACTTAATTGTAACACTCGCTTTTCCTTGATATTCCTTCATCAGGCAAACAAGATCTTCTCTTCATTTTAAATTCACCAATAATTGATCACTTTATAGTGTAGCCAGAGCTTTATAGTATTTTATGGAATATATTACATAGCTTTATCCATTCATTAATATGATTTGTTGTTAAAAATGCCAACAAGATCTTGTTAGCCTGAAGGCTTGTCCAGACAATCACATGTGATATGCCTAAATATGGTCATGATGACATCACATCATGACCATATATGGGCATACAACAGTTCTTTTGTTGAAGAAAATTTGATAGCTTTTGACAAAGCTTTAAAAATATTCTTTTTGCATCTATTGCTTCCCCGCGTTTCCTTCATTATCATTATTCAATTTTCATGCATATTTTCATTTCAAATAGTTAAATTATTTATATATTCTTCATATGAATTTTCATTATGATTTCATTAGCTATAAATTCATAATTTCCTTCATAGTTTGTGTAAATATTTATATTAAGATATAGATTATTATATGTTTCTTATCAAATTGATTATTTAAAGATATTTCTGGTAATGAAATCTTAGATACCCTCAAACTTAAATTTTAATTGTTAATTTAAAAGAAATAAATTATATTGTCATCTTTCCTTTCCAAAGGTATAGGTGAAAGATTTTTCCTGATTTTTTGCTCATCTGTAAATTAATGAGAACTGTGTTTTTTTTTTTTCAATTTCTTTCAAGTATTTAAAGTATTTTTTTATTCATCAAATTTGCAGTTAAAACTGATTTTCATTAATGTTTACAAATAGTTAATATGTACATTTAAAGCTTAGTACAAAGAATGACCAAGCAACAATATAAAACATACAATTAAAACATACTAAAAATGAATAAAAACAATAAACAATTGGTTGGAAATGAATGTCTTATTTGAAAAATAAACTAAATGAGTTATTAAAAATTTTAATTTTTGAGGTTTTTTCCGATTTCTTTTGGCAGTGTATCTTTTAAATAATTTTTTTGAAAAATTTTGTCTTTATTGGCATTTATATGATTTTGTTTCCGTTTTGTGTTGTTCTCCAGATATCAACGAGTGCGCAAGTTCTCCTTGTTTAAATGGCGGTGCATGCGTTGATCAAGTAAACAGTTATTCTTGCACATGCGTTCCAGGATATAGCGGTATTAACTGTCAAATTAGTAAGTTTCCTAAGAATTTTATAGCCAATTATAAAACGGATACCGCAGAATGTTTACATTATGTATTCATAGAACACTAAAATTATTTTATCTCTTCAGGTAATTTACTCATGGAGTATAAATTAAGCCTACCTCTTAACTTTATAGTAATATTCATAAAAAATGCTCCACCAAGGTATAAACGTGTAAAAAATCTTTACTATATACGCCTTTAATTCGTCAAAAATGACAGGAGTTTGAGGCCTTCACACGCTGCCACTCTGAAGCATTATGCAATCAATCTACTTAAGGGTGTCTGTTTTTTGTTATGCCTCTAAGTTGTGTAGCCTAATTCTTATTAATAACTTATTTTATCAATATACATTTGTGAATAAAAATGCCATTGCTGTTAAATCAAACATTGTTTTTTTCTCCACAGATAATAACGAGTGTTCGTCAGGCCCATGTATGAATGGGGGCACATGCTTAGATGGCGTTAATATGTTCTCCTGCAGTTGTCTGCCCGGCTACGCTGGAACACTTTGTGATATCAGTAAGTTCTCCGTTCGTCTGTTAAAAGGGCACTTTCAGTTCGCTCGGATTCACTCACGTGTGATCTGCACAACATAATTTGGTCAAATTACATCCTGGAATCCAAGCAACTAGGAGAACTTAACATTTTTGTGTGCGCAGATGACCTTTTTGCCATTAAAACAATTAAGATCTTCACTCTTCTCATTTCTTACTAAGTTTGTATATGGTTTTGTTAAATGGTTTTTCTGTTAAGATGCACTGTCAGCAAACAAAAATTGGTAAAACCTTAAAAATTCAACTGAAACTTTGAAAGTCTCATCTAATAAAATTCAAATAATTTATTAACTAGAAACTGATGATTTGCATACTATAAAAATTGTTACATTGATGACCAGCCAATTGTCTAAACAAAATAATAGAGCGAATAGAGTTGACTCTACGTTAATTGATAGAGAATACTTTCTCATTCAAATTTTTAATTTTAAGTTAATAATGTACAACTAAACAATTTAGATATGGACAATTTAGATATGGAATTGATTTTTTTCGATATTTAGCTCATGACATCTTAAATGTTTTGGACAAATATTATATTAAAAGGTTTTTATTCCTAATTTGTTGCTTAATTATGAAAATATTTGTAAGTGAAATCTTAATTATTAGTATGTGTGTTGTTTTCTTTATTTAGACATTAATGAATGTGCTAGTGGTCCTTGTCTTAATTCCGGAAATTGTGTTGATGGTATCAACCAGTATGTATGTGTCTGTCCTGCTGGATTTGAGGGAACCCACTGTGGATTAAGTATGTCAATCAATCAATCAAGCAATCATGATCCCCATCATGAGTAATGGAAGATACTATCATAATAAAACTTTATTTTCCATTTATAGTAAACCGCAGATATATTCACTAATAATTCATGCTTTAAACCTTATTATAGCTCAATTTTACGGAGTTACAAAGTGTGTATGTGAATTGGCTAGATAATAAAGGCTAAAGATAATAAAACAATTTAACTTAAACATCTATTTCATGAATAATTACCTGGATAAACACACTAATTGCCATTGTTCCTTTAAAAACACTCCTACACCATAAATAGAACCATCCAATCTCACTGAGAGACTACACAACATCTCTTCTGATATGTGTATTATAAGTAATACAATTTTTTTTTGCCAGATACCAACGAATGTGGTAGTAATCCGTGCATGAACGGCATCTGTAATGACAATGTGAACTCATTCACGTGTACTTGCAATCCGGGATGGACTGGAACTCTCTGCGACATCGGTAAGTTCACTGGTGTAAGCCGGGGTCATCGACAACATATGAATGCATGTCAGTTGTCACAATTGTTATTCTTGCGGAATCCCAGGTCCACTGAGTGTTGCTCATGGATTAGTAATATGCAAATGCACTGACCCTGAGGTCATAGTGCCTCAGAGGCTGGTGACATGAACCCTACAAGGGTTGTCACTACATTATACCGTGGTTGTCACATGATCATTCAAATTCAATTGCATTCTTGAATGATCAAGTGACAAGTGGATCTCTGTAAATTCATCAGTTTCCCTGAAGAAGTTGCTGAGATAGTAACGAAAGCTTGGAATTAAGATTTATATTTTATTTCAATATTTCCAATTACAAAATTTCTCACACTCTACATTATAAGCATTGGAATAGTACCAAATATTTTTTTAGAGAATGTTTTTTTTTGTTTTCTCAATGGAAAGAATATTGTCATTAGTTGATAGATTGACTGTTCCATTCAACTCAGCTCCACCTCGTCGAATGCAACAGTCAATCTTTAAACTCTTGAAAATATTCTTCCCATTGCACTCGTAAACATTCATTGTATACTATTCTGAAGATCGTAGGTTCGAATCCACCCGACAATAACTTGCGATTTTGTTTCGCAATTGTTTTCAAACGTACTGAGTATTCAGTACATTTCCACGTCAGGTAGGGCAAAAATTACGCCTATACATGTTTCTCCTGACGTAAATCCAGTTATTGTCTATTATTCCATCACGACAATAACAATTACTATCAACACTGCAGTACCTGCTGCTTACTTGGACTCAAATTCAACCCTGGCCATCAGGCGCAAGCTCGGTAATCTAGAGGTATGATGCCAGGCTAGTGATCTGGAGATCGTGGGTTGGAGTCCCACCTAGGAAAAAGTTGCGATTTTTTTTTTAGCAATTGTTTTTCACTGAGTATTCAGTACATTTCCACATCAGGCAGGGCAAAAATTACACCTATATATACTATTCCACATTTTCCAGTTGTAAAGTTATTTTTTTTTTCTTTAAAAGATATTGATGAATGCGCGAGTAGTCCGTGTCAAAATGGAGGAACTTGTGCGAATGGTGTCAATGGCTACTTCTGTGCCTGTACTATCGCACGGACTGGAACTCATTGTGAGAATAGTACGTAATCAATCATTTTTTTTTCCTCATTTATTTGTGTACCATTGCCTAATGTTTCAGTTTTAAATTATTATTGTTAAATACAATGTGTTCAGCATTAAAATGTCATTTTACCTATTGTGGCCATGGTGTGGCCTATTGATGTGCTTTTTTTTGTTTTTTTTGTGCATGAGAACCTAGACATTTTTTTGGTGACTATTCTTATTATTCTCTGTTTATGGCAGAGAACTAGGATAGGGTAGAAGTAATTTTGTGTGAATCGCACCAAGGTTAACCCACTGTGTCCGAAGACTTGTTTCCAGTGGGGTCCTTCTGGTGGTGATTTGAGCAGTACATTGGGAGGCAATCCCCTACACCTTTCCGAACAGTGTACTGCATTCTTTAACATGCACATGGGCCGTATTACAAGGGCTTAAACATCTAATCCGAAAGATGGTGTTGTATCGTAACAAGGATTTTACCCCTCCAGCAAAAAACACAAGAAGAGTGGCGATGAGAATTGAACCAGGACCACCAGTTTAACCGACTGAGCTATAGAGTCCCACAGTCGTGTCGTCATAATGTCATGTGGCGCCCTCTGTTGCCAACCAGACGTTGGTTACCATTCATTACTCATGAATGACTTCATAGGCTTTCTGGAATAGGCATTTTTAAAATCAAAATGTACTAAAAACACAAAAGCTCGCATTATATTAGTTTCGAACACACATTTAATCCGCAATTAAAATTCACAAAGAAAAACTAGGATACATCATCTTAATAGTTACTTTAGAAATTGGGATTTACTGGTTTGTCAGTGGAGAAAATGGCGTCCGCTTGAACGCATTTTGCAACGATAGCAAAAGTAGTATCACATGGTATCATGACGTAACACTGTAGTACTCTATAAGCTGCTCTTAAGTAACTCTAACATGCCACAATTTTGTTTCCATAACGTTTATTCATTTTTCACATAAATAGATATAAAACATTTAAGACAGATGGTCACGATTTGTCATTTTCTTAGAGTCTGAGTTGAAATAAAGTGGAAAATAAATCAAATGAATTATTCTGTGGGCAGTGTAGCCTATTGTCAGCGCATAAGTGTACACATGCCTACATACATATCCGTTGTGGATAAAAAGGATAAGAACACTAGCCCGGTTTGGCATACTTTATTCATAATAATATTAATATCGTTATTGCTACTTCTTCTCATCCCTTACCAGATGTCGACGAGTGTTTGAGTGGCCCATGTCAAAATGGTGGCACCTGTTCTGACCTTGTGGGACAGTTCTTTTGTCAGTGTCCACCTGGATGGAATGGTGTCTTCTGTGAAAACAGTAAGTATTATGATTTAGTTAATGTATGCTGATTAAAAGCAACATTGCAGATGGATAAATGAAAAATAAAAACCTGATTTTTAACAAACATTATTGTTATATATATATAAAATGTTCATTCCGCCGGATATGGCTTAAAAGGTCAAAGTGCACCTGCACTATGCATTATGAAGTGCTATGTAAACCTGTACTGTAAAGCCCTTTATTCGCTGACCATTATATTCTCGATTTTAAAATTTCAATATTCTGTGGCCTTTTATTTTTTTTGCGATTTTACGATTTCCAATCACTAATTAATTTTATCATTCTGAGTTTCATGATTTTGCGCGCCCCTTATTTTCATGATTGTCATTTTATTGCGAAAATCATAAAGATTTAAGGTGCGCAAAAATTACCTTTAGAGTAGGAGGTACATATCCACGGCCTGATGATATATATTATTTTCTTATTTCATTCTGTTGTCATCCCTATCTGTGCGAAATGTTATATGGCCATGTTTTGTGTGTATCAGCATACGCAGCAAAATAAAGTTAGATGTGTTAAGAATTCTTACTACCGTAACCAGACCTTCCCGCCAGTGGCTTCTTCCATCTTGGGACACCTGTTCTGTTGGGTGTGAAAGAGATAATAAAAAATAAAAGTGGAAACAAAATGTTTGCAGAACCCAGGGGTCCCAAGTCTCCCGGAACTTGCGCGGGAGTCTCCCAGAAATCGGGATGACCCTCCGCACTCCCGCAAGGAAGTTAGAATCTCTCGGAAAATAACACATCTTCCGCAAATTCATAATATTTGCATGTTTTCGATATGTTGTTATCAACTGTCTCATGGAGATCAGTGCCGATGGGCATTAGTATGTGCAGAAATATAATAACATTAAATTTGATAAACAAATTTGTTTAACCACTGCAGGTCGGTGGAGGATTAAGTGGGGGTGGGGGAAGCCAGCCTGGGAACCTACATTTTTCCAAATTATATAAAAATGGGGAAAAAATTATATTAAACATTTTTTTCTGAGAGTGTCATCTCCGGTCATCTAGAGGTGCCATAATCATAAATTTTCTTACCTCAGCCCTAACCATAGCAGGGCTAAGGTGATCGACCTACCCTACATCTGTTAAAGTCCCTCCTTGACCACCTCCCTCCCCTTATCTATTTCAAATATCTGGATCAGCCACTGCATCTCCCGGAAATTACTTCTTCCAGCTTGAGACCCCTAAGAACCCAAGGCCCGCACATCTCTTTCACAATATATAATATTTAATTTACTATTTTTCGTCTGTGTTATAAGCTCTGTTTTACTAGAAAATATTGATGGTGATTATATTTGATAGATATCAATGAATGTGCCAGCAGTCCTTGTCAAAATGGAGGCACCTGTACGGACAGCATTAACATGTACACCTGTACTTGTTTATCTGGATTCTCAGGAACCTTTTGTACCATAAGTAAAGTACATTTTGTGTTAATATTTAAATATGTACATAATGAAATAATACAATATGATTTCTTATAATTTTATATTGTTTTTTTTAGAAGCGATTTGCTACAATGCTTTGATTTCAGGTTGAAATGTGTTTTTCTTTTATATAATTATTTGTTTGGGGTTTTAACTTGGTATTTAAATTTTTTTTTTTTTTTGCAGATGATAATGAGTGTGTCTCAAATCCGTGTCAAAATGGCGGCACATGTACTGATGGAATCAGTGGCTACTCTTGTAGCTGTGTGCTTGGATTTTCTGGAACTTTCTGTGAAACTAGTAAGAAAATGTTTTCGAAATATTATTATACATTAAGCCAAGCACTGTCTACGTAGTACGACGGCCGTACCACGAATGCAACGACCTTCGTACGATGATTCAAACAACTGTTTTACGACGAATCCAACTTGTCTCCATGTGAGCGCAAGATGACGCGACACCATCGGCTGATTGTCGATGGCAGCCTGATTATCATCATTAAAAACAATCCGTTGCGCGCGTGTTGTGGAATTGCGTCGACTGACATCCGTCGAGTACAGTTAATGCCTGGCTTAAGGATTATTGATATTATAATGAATATGTAGTGGTAAGAAATTAGCCTCATAAGGCAAGGCTGATGGTGGTGCTGATAACGATGATTAGCATGAGATAATGATTATGATGGCAGTTGGTGTTGACAATGGTGAGATGGGATGGTTATGTTGATAATAAGGACTGTGGTTGTTGAGTCAATAAATCAAACAAACAAGAATGCAGCAGAGATTTTGGAGTTCTGTTTAATGCGTCTTAAAAACTTCGGAACTGATGACAGAATATCAACGTATACTCTTATCCTTAGTTCAAGTTTAAGCGCAACCACACATCTGTGACAGTTGACACTGATACAAGTGACGATTAACTGTAAATCAATCAAAATTAAACTCATCTAATAGGTATATCAGATATAACATACGGTAATAAATAGTGATGAACATTAACATAATGACGCTCCATGCAAAGTACAGCCTGTACTGTATACCGATATGTTCTAAATATCAAAGAACTTGATAATTATTAAAGGATGGTTGACTACATTATATTATTAATTTTACCAACTTTCAATCTAGAAAATGGAGTTTATTTACCGTACAGTTGATCCCTAATCTCTGTGCAACTCAACAGCTACATTGAACATCTATGTAGTCATAGCATTTACTTCTGGAAACATCCTAAATATCTTATGACAACAATCCCCGAACACCTAAACAAATGTTAATAACAATGAACATCTCAAAACTTTAAACGAATGATGTGTACTATAATAGGCTAGCCTAAGCAGATAGAAAACACCTTCTCACTCAAGCGTGAAGGCCGAGCACTCACATAAATGCTCCTATAAACATAGCAATAATAGGTTTAGAACTATCCGAAATACATCCTTAATATACTGCTTAATGAAATGACATATGAATCATCCTTACTATATCTCTAAGCATACCGAGAAACACCTTCTGAAGCACAATTATACTTGTTACTTAAAACATCAAAGTATAGCCTGACGTTTAACAGCCATATTGTGTAAAAACTTTCTTACACGGCTAAACTAGAGAGGGCGACAGACGTAAATAATATTAGGAAGTGAACTTGGCATTAACAAGGACAATGGTGAAGATGATGATAATGGTGATGATAATGACCATAAAGATGACGATGATGATGATGATGATGATTGTGATGATGATGCTTGTGACAGCGACTGTTGCAAAGATAATGGTGATGGGGTGGATAAGATAAGATGCTGATGACAATTATGATGGTAACGATGATGTTGATGTCGGTGATAAATACAATGATGATAATGACAGTGATGATGACAGTGATTGTGATTGTGATGATGACAATAATGATAATTATGATGACAATGATGGTAGTGTTGTTGACAGAGAAGATGATGACGATGAATAAGATGGTAGGGATAGCTAATGCATTTCTTTAATTATATCTTTCTATTTTTTTTTTTTCTATATCTAGACATCAATGAGTGTCAAAGTAGCCCTTGTCAGAATTTAGGCACTTGCATCGATCAAATCAACTACTACTTCTGCGCCTGTCCCTCAGGGTGGCAAGGAACCAATTGTGACATCAGTGCGTATACAAACTTATAATAGGGAGCTATCGATTTGCACGATCCCAGCTAGCAAGCGACGTTGACCCGACGTTGGTTGAAGGTCGAATAATTACGTTGGTACAACGTACTTACACAAAGGTTGGCGCGACGGCCGTTTTTCCATCGGCCCAACGTGGATTCAGCTTGTTGGAAAGACGTCGGCCCGACTAGTTGGATCTACGTTGGCCCGATAATGTTTGTGCAACGTCGACCAATCACGTTGGCCCAACGTACCTTTCTGATGTTGCCTAGACGTTCGTTTTTCCATCGGGCCAACGTCGATTCAGCCAGTTGCAAAGAAGTCTATCCGACTAGTTGGATCAACGTCGGGCCGACGTTGGTTGAAGGTCAAATAATTACGTTGGCACAACGTACTTACGACGTTGGTTGAAGGTCAAATAATTACGTTGGCACAACGTACTTACACAAAGGTTGGCCCGACGGCCGTTTTTCCATCGGGCCAACGTCGATTCAGCCAGTTGCAAAGACGTCTATCCGACTAGTTGTATCAACGTCGGGCCGACGTTGGTTGAAGGTCAAATAATTACGTTGGCACAACGTACTTACACAAA